ATTTGATATCAATAGTCGGCGCCAAGTTATTCTACCTTATTACTTACTTAATTTTAATGACATTTATCATTTGTATACAAGATTTGATATCAACAGTCGGCGCCAAGTTAAATTCTACCAAATTAAAAAGTAAAACACAAGTGGTACCTTTAATCTTTAAGAACCAATATAGTATTATCATTTAAATTCTACTAAATTAAAAAGTAAAGTCCATGTGGTGTACTATCTTTATCTTCATACAATGAAACCTAAGTATATGCCTTTGTATTCTTATTAGAAGATCTTCCTATTCGAAACCAAGTGATTTAATTCTTCTTTAAAAAAATTATATCACAATTAATTTAAAAGCAATGAAAAAAATTTATTTAAATAAAAAAATTTTTTATTTAAATAAAAGAGATGGCTCTAGCCACCTCTCCCACTCCTATCGTCATGAGCGGTCTTGCGATTCCGGATCGCAGCGGCGTCATGCTCTCAACCGTTCTCGCTTTCGTTCATGACGCAAATAGTCGTCGCAAGTCATGCCGCGTTTTGTTAGATTCTGGCTCTCAGGCTAATTTCATTTCGCAGCGTTTCGCGGACGCTCTCGATATTAAATCACGTTCCTCGGACATTTCAATTTCGGGAATAAACAATACTACCACGCGATCGTTTCAGGCCGCTGAAATACGATTGCACTCACGCACAAGCTCATTCAGCATTCTTTTGGATTGCATTGTTACCGAACATGTAACCGGCAAACTTCCGACCTTCACGTTTAAAAAAAACGCTTTCAAAATCCCGGCTAATCTCGAACTAGCCGATCCGCAGTTCCACGTCTCGTCTGAGACAGATGTTTTAATTGGCGCGGAACATTTTTGGAGCTTGCTCTGTATCGGTCAAATCAAGGCATCGGTATCGCATCCTACATTACAGAAAACGCGTTTCGGGTGGATATTAGCGAGTCGACTGCACACTGCACCGAAAGCAACTTCGAATGTGCACTCTTTTCACGCCTCAATCAGCAACAAGCAATTGCACGAACAATTATCTCGGTTTTGGGACGTAGAGAACATCTCAACGGTTTCCGATCACTATACCTCAGAGGAGGCTTACTGTAAGCAGCATTTTTTACAAAACATGTCTCGAACCGATCAAGGCAAATTCATTGTCAAACTCCCCTTTAAGGAATCCGAGCCTTACACTTTCGTTAACTCTAGGGAGATCGCCTTAAAACGCCTCGGAGGCATTGAAAGGCGTCTTAGCCGCGACTCAGAGTTAAAAACGCGATATTCGCAATTCATAAATGAATACAATGTCCTGGGTCATATGAAATTGATTTCCGAGCTTCCCTGGGAGGATCCAAAGTCCTTTTACTTACCGCATCATTGCATCTTTAAGGCGCCCATGACCAGTAAATTTCGCGTTGTCTTCGACGCCTCCGCAAAGGACGCGACTGGCATCTCATTGAACGACACACTTATGGTCGGTCCTACCGTACAGCAAGATTTATTTACTATACTGTTGCGATTTCGAACACATCGTTTCGCATTTTGAGCCGATTTCGTTAAAATGTATCGCCAAATTCTCGTGCATCCGTCACAAACACGCTATCAGCGCATTCTTTGGCGAGATGATTTCTCTTCTACAGTTTCGACGTACGAACTTTGCACCGTGACATACGGCACATCTCCCACGTCGTTTTTAGCCACACGATGCCTCACATGGTTAGCCGAGCATTGCGCTGGCGATTGGCCTAATGGTTCCAAGTGCGTCAAACGCGATTGTTATGTTGATGATATGCTTACGGGAGCCGACACGATACACGAGGCGTTAACAATACGCGACGAGGCGATTAAAGTACTACGTTCTGGTGGCTTCAAGCTTGGAAAATGGGCATCCAGCACTCCCGAATTATTGGCGGGAATCAAGGATCAGAATGACGCCCCGGTTGCAATCCCCGATAACTCTGAATCGTCCATCTTGGGCATTCATTGGATGCACTCTAGTGATGCATACAGTTTCTCTTACAACCTCGGGGACAACTCCGCGATAATTTCTAAGCGAGTCATCTTGTCGGATACTTCCAAACTTTATTATCCTCTTGGCCTGGTAGGTCCAGTCATCGTACTGGCAAAGTTAATCTTACAAGAACTTTGGCAGGTGGGCATCAACTGGGACGAGTCGGTTCCGCAGGAGCTTCACGCGCAGTGGTTGGAGCTTAAGACGCAATTGAATGACATTAATCGACTCAGCATCCCGCGGTGCATCAAGCATGCTACTTCTCCCGATTCCATTCAAGTACACGGATTTTGCGATGCAAGCCAACGGGCCTATGGAGCTTGCGTATACGTCCGGTCGGAACTCGGAGAAAATAAGTATCGAACCGAGCTGTTGTGCTTAAAATCTCGCGTGGCCCCCCTTAAAGCGCTATCGCTTCCCCGTCTCGAACTTTCGGCGGCGTTGCTATTAACTAGATTAATTTATAAAATTCAGTCGGCATTCGATTTGACCGGCATACGAATATATTTTTGGTCGGATTCTACGATCGTACTGAATTGGATATCCTCTCCATCGCGAAGGTGGTCGGTATTCGTCTCACACAGAGTGGGAGAAATTCAAAATTATACCAATCCCGAGGATTGGCATCACGTAAAATCGACCAACAATCCAACGGATCTGTCGTGCGGTCTCGACCAGCAGGAGCTAACAAACTCGCGTATGTGGTGGCATGGACCTAGTTTCCTTCAGCTTAACCCTAACCTCTGGCCCGATTCCGGTTTCACGCTTTCCCTTGAGAACATTCCCGAGCAAAGGTGGTGCGTCACGGCCGTTACCGCGTCCGATCTTTTAATTATGAATCAGTTACTGAACAATCATTCGGGGCTCATTAAGGCATGTCGCAAACTCGCATATTGTTTAAGATTTTTCAAATCGCGTCGCCCGAGCGAACCCACAATTTTCGTGTCCCATCAGGAGATACTAGCCGCACTACAAATCATGTGCAAATCTATACAGCGTCAAACCTTTTTCGCAGAATACAAGAATCTTCAGGAAGATCGCACCCCTCATACAACTAGTAGCGTACTAGGTTTGTCCCCATTCATTTGCAGCGATGGCTTGATACGAGTGGGTGGCAGGCTAACAAATTCAGATCTCAGCCCTGACGTGCGTCATCCAATTTTATTGCCACGCAATAACATTTTAACTCTACGCATAATAGAGCAAGAGCACGAGCGCAATGCTCATGCGGGCGCGCAGGCTACAATGGCAGCAGTAAGGCAACGTTTCTGGCCAATTTCTTTAAGATCCGCCACTCAAAAGGTTATCAGAAATTGTGTAACATGTTTCAGAAGCAAGCCCGTGCAATCTGAAACGATTATGGCATCATTGTCTGCTGGGCGAGTTAATGTTTCGCGATCGTTTATGCATTGTGGCGTTGATTACGCGGGCCCATTCATATTACGAGAATTCAAAAGACGAAACGCTCGTACGCACAAGGCTTATTTGGCGGTCTTTGTGTGCTTCTCCACTAAGTGCGTGCATTTCGAACTAGTCAGTGACCTCACGGCTGAGGCATTCATAGCCGCGCTAAAGCGATTCGTGTCTCGCAGAGAAAAACCGTCTTGCATTTACTCCGACAATGGAACGACGTTCGTGGGTGCTCATGGTCAGCTTAAAGAATTTTTTAATATTTTACGTGACGACCAAACGCAAGTCGAGATAGCTAATTCTTTGCGGGAGCACGAAACTACGTGGAAATTCATTCCCCCGAACGCGCCTCATTTTGGTGGCTTGTGGGAGGCTGCGGTCAAAGCCGCTAAGCGTCATCTCGTTCGAATAGTCGGGAAGACATCCTTGACTTTCGAAGAATTACAAACGATTTTCTGCGAGATAGAGGCTATTCTAAATTCGCGACCTCTCACTCCGTTAAGCGAAGATCCTAACGATCTAGGTTATTTAAGTCCAGGGCATTTCTTGATTGGCACCGCACTGAATAGTTTCCCTCATCCAGACTTAGCTAATGTAAATGAGAATAGACTAATACGTTGGCAGAGTGTCGAACAAGCCAGACAACATTTTTGGCGCAGGTGGAGCCAAAAATATCTGCATATCCTCCAGGAGCGATCCAAGTGGAGAACAAACAAGGGTGATCAGCTGAAGCCCAACCAAATGGTGCTACTGAAGCAGCCGAATCTAGCACCCCTCCAATGGTTGTTGGGTCGCGTCGAAGAAGTTCATCCAGGAACTGATGGCAACGTGCGGACTACCACCATCCGTACCGCAAAAAGTCTTTTCACTACACCATTAACCAAGCTCGCTATTCTACCAATAGAAACTCAGCGTTCCACTTCATGTTAAATAAGTTAGCCTTAAGATTCCAGCTTTTTTTTC